GAGATGGGTCTTGCTCTGTCGCCCAGGCTAGTAGCAGTGACGTGATCTCGGCTCACTGCAACCTCGCCCTCCTGGGTTCAAGCGATTCTCCTGCCTCAGCCTCCGAGTAGCTGCAGACTACAGGCATGCATGCGGCATACCCAGCTAATTTTTATATGTTAGTAGAGACGGGGGTTTCACCATGTTGGCCAGGCTGGTCTCAAACTCCTGACCTTGGGTGATCCACCCGCCTCAACCTCCCAAAGTACTGGGATTACAGGGTAAGCCCACCATGCGCCAGCCCCATCAATCGTCTGTCTATAAAGGCGAAAAATAAAAGCTGTCATCAAAAAATGATGCATAGGATGAACACTATGAGTGACAGGAGTAACAGAGCTGGACGCGTGCTGTACTTGATGCCAACAGGAATGTAAAACAAAAACTTTCTGGAATTGTTCTGATTGAAGAGCAGATACACGCCACGGGATGGCAAGAAATATCTTTACAAACTATGCATCACAACAAAGACTAATATCCGATCTACCGAATAACTCAAACAAGTCAACAACGAAAAAAAAATCACCTCAAAACCGCTAGCAAATCAGGTAGCTCACGCCTGTAATCCCAGCATTTTGGGAAGCTGAGGTGGGTGGATCACGAGGTCAGAAGTTCAAGACCAGCCTGGCCAAGATGGTGAAACCCCATTTCTACTAAAAATACAAAAATCAGCTGGGCATGGTGGTGGGTGCCCTGTAATCACAGCTACTCCAGAGGCTGAGGCAGAGAACTGCTTGAACCCAGCAGGCGGAGGTTGCAGTGAGCCAAGATTGTGCCACTGCACTCCAGCCTGGGCAACAGAGCGAGACTCTGTCTCAAAAAAAGTCAAAAAACAATAGATGTTGGTATGGATGTGGTGAAAAGGGAATGCTTATACACTGCTGGTGAGAGATAAATTAATACAACTTCTGTGGATAACAGTATGGAGATTTCTTAAAGAACCAGAAGTAGATCTGCCAGTTGATCCAGCAATTCCACTACTGGGTATATCTACACAAAGGAAAAGGCAATACACCAAAAAGACTGTAAGCGTATGTCTTCTGTGGCACAATTCACAACTGCAAAGATATGGAACCAATCTAAGTGCCCGTCGAGCAATGAGTTGATAAAGAAAATGTAGCAGGCTGGGTGTGGTGACTCGTGCCTGTAATCCCAGCATTTTGGGAGGCTGAGGCAGGTGGATCACCTGAGGTCAGGAGTTCAAGACCAGCCTGACCAACATGGTAAAACCTTGTCTCTACTAAACATACAAAAATTAGCAAGAGATGGTGGTAGGTGCCTGTAGTCCCAGCTACTTGGGAGGCTGAGGGAGGAGAATCGCCTGAACCCGGGAGGCAAAAGCTGCAGTGAGTCGAGATCGTGTCACTGCTCTCCAACCTGGGTGACACAGCAAGACTCCATCTCAAAAAAGAAAAACAAAAAAGAAATACACAACTGGATGGTGACAACTGACAAAAACTGGAAGAATGGGAGCAAAGGATGATGAAGAGGGTTTGGAGTCAGGGAATATCTGACTAGGAGTCAGGAAATAAGGCAAAATGAGCCAACAGAAGCATTGTCAAGAGGGTGGGCGATACAGCAATCCCTGCCCCCTTCACCCTTAGCCAACATTCTAGCCTCAGTTTTCCTCCCCCGGCACGTCATCCTTCTCCTTTGGGAACGCTCATCACCTTTACTATCTCCTACCCCCACCAGACCATCAACTCCATGAGGGCATGGACTGTATCTCTGTTCTGCTCACTGCAGATCCTGTGCAACTAGCAACAGAGACTCTCAATAATATGGCTGGATGTGCAAAACATGTATTCCCCCTTTGATCCAAAAAATGAGGGAGGACCAGGCATGGTGGCTTACACCTATAAATCCGAGCACTTGGGGAGGCCAAGGCTGGAGGATCGTTTAAGCCTAGAAGTTCGAGACCAGCCTGGGCAACAGAGTCAGACCCCTTCTCTACAAAAAAATACAAAAATTAGCTGGGTGTGGTGGTGAACACTTGTAGTCCCAGCTATGCAGGAAGCTGAGGTGGGAGGATTAGTTCAGCCCAGGAAGTGGAGGCTGCAGTGAGCTGAGATCCTGATACTTTACCCCACCCTGTGTGACAGAGCAAGAACAGAGCGAGGACCCTATCTCAAAAAAAAAAAAAAAAAAAAAAACCCAAGAAACGAAAAATTGGGGGGGAGGGCAGAGAGTGGAGTACTCACTGGAAACTGAGCCAGTAAGAAACAGCATTGCAGGGAAGGTAGTAAAACAAACAGATAAAGCTTTTAAGCGGATGCTTTCAAGGTCCAAACGCAGTGATTGGTGGAGTTTCCCAAATGAGGGAATCATCAAGCGGTAGAATGGGGAAAACACTAGCTGAGAGGATAAGCTCAGCTCAACCCAGAACTTTAGAAGACACTCTTACTGACGTTTCTCATACCATGGTGGAAGATGCAGCGTGGGTGCTAACCATCAAAGGCAGAACTTTAAAAAAAAAAAAAGAAGAAGCACTTGCTGGTCTTAGAATCGTGCTGAAGAAATTTTAGTAAGGGCCTTTAAGTTCACAGCACGGTTTTAGGCGGATGATCTCATCACAGATAAGATTTACTGTCACTGAACAGTATGTTTAAGAATACTGGCCAGGCGAGCTCACTGAGTCAGAGTTCAAGACCCAGTCTCCACATAGTGAAACGCCCGATGTCTACGAAAAGACCAGAAAAATGGTATGCAGGTATGGTCGGCAGCGATGCCTTAATCTCAGGTGCTACTCGGCGGAGGGGCTGAGCACGAGGAATCGCGCTTTGAACCT